CTTTCTTTCTTAGCTCATTTTCTTTCTTTTTTTTTCTTTCTTTCTTTTATTTTTAGCTTTTTTTTTCTTTTTTTTCTTATTTTTTTTTTTCTTTCTTTCTTTCTTTTTTTCTTTTCTTCTTTTTTTTTCTTTTTTTTTTTTTCTTTTCTTTTTTTCTTTCTTTTTTTCTTTTCTTTCTTTTTTTTTTCTTTCTTTTAGATATTTCTTTTCTTTCTTTTTCTTTCTTTCTTTTCTTTCTTTTTTTTTTCTTTCTTTCTTTTCTTAGCTCTTTTTCTTTCTTTTTTCTTAGCTCTTTTTTCTTTCTTTTTTCTTTCTTTTTTTTTTCTCTTTCTCTTTTCTTTCTTTCTTTTTTTCTCTTTCTTTCTTTCTTTTTTTAGCTCTTTTTTCTTTCTTCCTTTAACTTTTTTTCTTTTTTTTCTTTCTTTTTTTTTTTCTTTTTTTTTCTTAGCTTTTTCTTTCTTTCTTTTTTTTTTTTTCTTTTAGCTCTTTTTTTTCTTTCTTTCTTTTTTTTTTTTTTCTTTTTCTCTTTTTCTTTCTTTTTTTCTTTCTTTCTTTCTTTTTCTTTTCTTTTTTCTTAGCTCATTTTTTTCTTTTTTAGCTTTTTTTTTTCTTTCTTTTCTTTTTTTTTTCTTTTTTTTTTTTTTTTTTTTTTTTTTTTTTCTTTCTTTCTTTTCTCTTTTCTTTCTTTCTTTCTTTCTTTCTTTCTTTTTTTTCTTTTTTTCTTTCTTAGCTTTTTTTCTTTCTTTTTTTTTCTTCGCTTTTTTTCTTTCTTTTTTTTTCTTTCTTTTTTTTTTCTTTTTTAGCTCTTTTTTTCTTTCTTTCTTTTTATGTTCTTTCTTTCTTTCTTTTTAGCTCTTTTTCTTTCTTTCTTAGCACTTGTTCTTTCTTTCTTTCTTAGATCTTTTTCTTTCTTTCTTTCTTTCTTAGCACTTTTTCTTTCTTTCTTTCTTTCTTTCTTAGCTCTTTTTCTTTCTTTCTTTCTTTCTTAGCTCTTTTTCTTTTTTTTTTAGATTTTTTTTTTTCTTTCTTTTCTTAGCTCTTTTTTTTTTTTTTTTTTTTCTTTTTTCTTCTTTTTTATTTTCTTTCTTTCTTTTTTTTCTTTCTTTTTTTCTTTTTAGCTATTTTTTCTTTCTTTCTTTCTTTCTTTTTTTCTTTTTCTTCTTTCTTAGCTCTTTTTTTTTTTTCTTTTTTGTTTCTTTCTTTCTTAGCTCTTTTTTCTTTCTTTTTATCTCTTTTCTTTCTTTCTTAGCTCTTTCTCTTTCTTTCTTTCTTTCTTAGCTCTTTTTCTTTCTTTCTTTCTTTCTTAGCTCTTTTTTCTTTCTTTTTATCTCTTTTCTTTCTTTCTTAGCTCTTTCTCTTTCTTTTTTAGCTCTTTTTCCTTTCTTTCTTTTTAGCTCTTTTTCTTTCTCTCTTAGACATTGTTCTTTCATTCTTTCTTTCTTTCTTAGCTCTTTTTTCTTTCTTTTTAGCACTTTTTCTTTCTTTTTTTCTTAGCTCTTTTTCTTTCTTTCTTTCTTTCTTCTTTCCTCTTTCTTTTTTTTTTTTTCTTTTTTTTCTTTCTTTTATTCTTTTTTTTTTCTTTCTTAGCTCTTTCTTTCTTTTTAGCTCTTTTTCTTTTTTCCTTTTAGCTATTTTTTCTTTCTTTCTTTTTAGCTCTTTTTCTTTCTTTCTTAGCTCTTTTTTCTTTCTTTTTATCTCTTTTCTATCTTTCTTTCTTAGCTCTTTCTCTTTCTTTCTTTTTAGCTCTTTTTCTTTCTTCCTTTAACTATTTTTTCTTTCTTTCTTTCTTTTTAGCTCTTTTTCTTTCTTTCTTAGCACTTGTTCTTTCATTCTTTCTTTCTTTCTTAGCTCTTTTTCTTTCTTTTTAGCTCTTTTTTTTTCTTTCTTTCTTAGCTCTTTTTTCTTTCTTTTTTTCTTAGCTCTTTTTCTTTCTTTCTTTCTTTCTTTCTTAGCTCTTTTTCTTTCTTTCTTAGCTCATTTTCTTTCTTTTTAGCTCTTTTTTTTCTTTCTTTCTTTCTTAGCTCTTTTTTCTTTCTTTTTAGCACTTTTTCTTTCTTTTTTTCTTAGCTCTTTTTCTTTCTTTCTTTCTTAGCTCTTTTTCTTTCTTTTTAGCACTTTTTCTTTCTTTTTTTCTTAGCTCTTTTTCTTTCTTTCTTTCTTTCTTAGCTCTTTTTCTTTCTTTTTAGCTCTTTTTCTTTCTTTCTTAGCACTTGTTCTTTCATTCTTTTTTTCTTTCTTAGCTCTTTTTCTTTCTTTCTTAGCACTTGTTCTTTCTTTCTTTCTTTCTTTCTTAGCTCTTTTTCTTTCTTTCTTTCTTAGCTCTTTTTCTTTCTTTCTTTCTTTCTTTCTTAGCTCTTTTTCTTTCTTTCTTTCTTTCTTTCTTAGATCTTTTTCTTTCTTTCTTTCTTTCTTTCTTAGCTCTTTTTCTTTCTTTCTTTCTTTCTTTCTTAGCTCTTTTTCTTTCTTTCTTTCTTTCTTAGCTCTTTTTCTTTCTTTTTAGCTCTTTTTCTTTCTTTCTTTCTTTTTATCTCTTTTTCTTTCTTCCTTTTAGCTATTTTTTCTTTCTTTCTTTCTTTTTAGCTCTTTTTCTTTCTTCCTTTTAGCTCTTTTTTCTTTCTTTCTTTCTTTTTAGCTCTTTTTCTTTCTTTCTTAGCACTTGTTCTTTCATTCTTTCTTTCTTTCTTAGCTCTTTTTCTTTCTTTCTTAGCTCTTTTTCTTTCTTTTTAGCTCTTCTTTCTTTCTTTTTATCTCTTTTCTTTCTTTCTTAGCTCTTTTTCTTTCTTTCTTTTTAGCTCTTTTTCTTTCTTTCTTTCTTTCATAGCTCTTTTTCTTTCTTACTTTCTGAGCTTCTTTTACTTATTTCTTTTTTAGCTCATTTTTCTTTCTTTCTTTCTTAGCACTTTTTATTTTTCTTTCTTAGTTCATATTCTTTTCTTTTTTCGTATCTCTTTTTCTTTCTTACCTTTCTTTCCCTTTTAGCTTTCATTATTTCTTTCTTTCTTTCAGAGCTAATTTTTCTTTATTTCTTTTTATCTGCGCTATTCATTTTTAATTCAAAAACCGTTTCCCGCCTGAAAGAAATTCATATCTGCCATTCAAAATTCAGTCGTATGTTATCAAGATGAACTCGCAGTCTGTTTACATTTAAAGTGAATGTAAAATATATAAATGCAATCTTGACTTGTAAAAGTAACTTTTTTAAGAAGACGACATGAGGGAAATACTTTTTAATACGCCGACATAAGGGAAATTTTTAATATTATTTATTTAAATTTATTTATTTAAATTTAAATTTTAAATTTTAAGAAGCCGACATTAGGGAATTTAAAAAAAAAAATATATTTTTAATAAAATTCTACTCTCATCAACGTTGACTATGATATTATTTCCTGTAGAGTTCGTGGTTATTATCGTTATTTGATATTTTCATTGTTGTTTGATATCTCGTATTACAAGAGATTTTTAGAGCGGATATCAAAGAAATTACGGAACTATGTAAATAAATTAAAAAATGTGTTTAATTAAATTTTCATTAAAACTTTATCAAATCTTTTAAGCAAATGAAAAATTGTAAAAAATAGATTTTATTATTATTAATATGAACGTTTGAAAACTATTGAAATGATTCTCTTGTAGCCAGCCATGTCCGGAGGGAGAAATTCAAGAGGACTTCGTATAATGTCAAAAGGGATTTTAGTAACTATATAAGTAGTTGAAAATATTTTTTTCTTTTATAGTGGGAAGAGAAATTCTATAACAACATTTCTGTGTCTGTAGAATGGGTCCTTTTAGAAAAATGAGGAATTATTTTACATTAATCACTTAACAGGCTTATTTTTTCCGTTACGCTTTCATCAACTGCTAACCAATGACAATTGATATATTTTTCTTGCCAATGTGCAACACACTTGTGCACATGTATTTTAGTTTAAATAAATAAATGAGCAATGATTTTACAGGGCATTTAATTATCAAGGACATTTATTATTATCATATATATATATATATATATATATATATATATATATATATATATATATATATAGTGTGTGTGTGTGTGATTGAATAAATTACAGACATTATGTCTGCTAATTTTTAACAAAATCCATTCATACTCACGAATAACCTTCCGTGTATTGATGTTAAAGGATGAGAGAAATGTGCTATAGCTATTTAAATTTCTTTTCTTTTCATTTCAGTTTTGTTTTATTTTCATCTCCGTTTTGCTTTTAAAAGCATAATGAAAAAGTACGGTAATGGACAACAACGCATATCTTTGTATTAATATTTATACTAACGGGAAACATATAGTTTTGTACTACTTGCACCCTTGAAGATGATCTTCGAAGAAGATCGAAAGTACTTGCGGAATCAAAATAAAACAAATTTAAACAACTATAGCACATTTCTCTCATCCTTTAACATCAATACACGGAAGGTTATTCGTGAGTATGAACGGATTTTGTTAAAAATTAGCAGACATAATGTCTGTAATTTATTCAATCAAACGTACCTAAAAGAGAATTTGCACATATATAAAGTATCACACATTGAGTGCTGTTATATATATATATATATATATATATATATATATATATATATATATATATATAGCAGGCGTAACAGTAAAATTCTCCAAATATTTTAACAGCATAGGATAATTAGCCATCTCACAAAATGTCTAATATCTAAAATACAACACGAAACTAATTAAGTTACTTTTTTTTCCAGATTTTCAGATATGATGTTAGCCATATTGACAATTTTTTTCGTTAGAATCACTGAAAAACGCTTTTGAGTTAATTAGCAAGAGAATAAACAGCGTAAAATCGTTTTGTGTCACCCTCACGATGTCTTCCTAACTGAGCAATGGTGAAAGGGAAAAGAACATTAAGGCCTCCAGTAATGGTACCAACATTCATGCTCCGGCTTTCATCTTCAAAATCCATTGAAGAACCATCAAGTGAACGGTGAATAAGTTTAAAAAGTGGGAACAGTTCAGAGGAAAATTGAATCAGGACGTCACAATTGCGACAGCGATCATCATTTCAACTTAAAGCTAAATACATTGTTCAAAGTACAGTCCAATAGTGGTTTAAAAATCTCGGAGAATTCCACTAAAATATCTTCAGAACTAAATCTAACAATTGTGCTGTTACACGATTTTGACAATTTTGATGCTACACCCATTATAGTCGCCGCAGCCTCTTCTCTTCAACTCAGAAACGGGTTGCATGAATGGCGAGGATTTGAATAGCGTCAGTAGTGCTAAATATACTGAATCAAATTACAAATAGTGAATAATAAGTGAAACATCGTGGAATCTGGTGTGACGCTTCAAGAAACGATTATTTGTTTAAACAGTATCATTTGAATACGATTACGTTTTGAGATACAAATGAAGACCACTACACTGTGAGAACAGATCATTGCATTTTTCTCTAAATTAAAGCAGCCGGGTCAAATAAATATTTCGGTGATTTTTTTTATTTTTTTTAACGAAGCGCCCAAATCTATAATCAGTTGACCATATTCGTCATAAATTCTGTTTTCCAATTCGCTTTTCTTTTTAGGTATACATTTGCTTCACCGTATCCTTTATTGCATTCAGGATGTTGTGGACGTTGTAATGGTGAACGGCTTGGAATGAAAAATGGGAGAGTCGAGTATAAATTCATATTGAGTTCGTTACAGTTACGAACATAAAAAAAAACTATTAGAAAAGGTATGAATATATGTTTTCCTTTCTCCAGCTTAGGGGAAATAGTAGCATCTATATCGAAAAGATTCGTTGGTATCTTCAAGGTAATTTTTAAGGCAATATTCACTCACAAAAAATATATAGAATTATTCATACAATTCAAAATAAGTTTCGGCATTAAATATCCGACAAAGGGTTGATAATCCGTAAAAATCAAATCAATTTTATCGCTTTCTTTCTCTTATTTTATTGCTGGTATCTTTTCTATTTCTTGTATTCTTTTCTTCTTAGTGTCCATCCATTCTCATTCAATCTTTTATTCTGTTATTCAGTCATTCGTTAATTCCAATATCTTAATTTTATGCCGTTTCCTATTTTTCTTCGGGTTTCGTTTCATTTTAAACTCCATCCAAGATTCGCATTTCTTCCTTCTTTTGAAAATTGGTTCCCGAAATGAATAATACCATTTTGCTATTAATAGCTTAACGTGCAGAATATTATTACAGAAAACTAATGGAATCCTGGTGCTGCTTCTTTAAGTCCTCTTCTTTAGCAATCACTTTCCCTCCTTTCTTTCTAGAGTAATCTCCCTTGGCTGCGTGTGCAAGGGTGGAAGAGAAAGAGAAAGAGATTCGTTTTCCTTTGCCATATTTTGTTTTATCGCCTGTAATTATTTTTTCATGCAAGTGTAATACGTCGCGTGTGTAAAACGAATTCTGACTTAGAAAAAAAAAACGTGGAAAAAACGTGTTGTTAACCAATGTAAGGGAAACAAAGAATTAAGAAGAAAAAAATGTTGTGTCACTTCAATGCGCTGTATATAACACACTCAGTATATCGACAGTTTGAAGAAGGAAAACGAGATAGATAGATGAATGAATGAATGAATAGATGAATGATATATAGATAGAGAAAGGAAAAGAGATAGATAGATAGATAGATAGAAAATTTGATATGAATAAATTAAGATAGATAAATGTGAAAAAATTAGATCGATATATAGATAGACAGAGAGATATAAAATTTGATATGAATAAATTCAGATAAAGAAATAATTAGATATGAATAAATTGAAATAGATAGATAGATAGATAGATAGATAGATAGATAGATAGATAGATAGATAGATAGATAGAAAATTAGATCTGAATAAATTCAGATAGAGAGATAATGAGATATGAATTAATATAGATATGAAAATTTAGATAACTGGATGGAGGCCTTATTAGATATGAATAAATTCAGAATGATAGATAAGTAGATAATATATATGAAAATTTCATATTTATATATATATATATATATATATATATATAGATAGATAGATAGATAGATAGATAGATAGATAGAGCTAGATAAAAAAATAAATATAAATGTATTCAAATAGAGAGATTATTAGATATGCATAACTAAAGATAGATAGATAGATAGATAGATAGATAGATAGATAGATAGATTATTCATTAATTAAATAGAAAAGATATGAAAAAAAAATGGAACACCGGAAGTGACAAAGCCGGATGAAAGCAGAGATGTTTGAAGCTATAAAAAAATACAGAAATTAACAAGAAACAATGACGAAAACGGACCGAAAGTCCAAGTTAAGAGAACGGTAAAAAAAATAAAATCTTCCTTTAAAAAAATGAAGGAAAAACATAAAAGGACAAAAGACATTACAGAACAGACATAAGAACGTAAGTATATAGAATTAAAAAAAAAAAGTAAAATATGGTAGTGGCGCGCCTCGTGTTCCATACTTTACGTTTGATGACTTAATCAAAATGTTTTTGGTCAGAACT